ACATTTGGCAACAGTAACATTTGACACTTTTTCCCCTAATTAGTCATTACAAATTTGACAACACCAAGTTTTGGCACTTTTTCCTTAATTCAAGTAGTCTAACACAGCACATTATTAGGACACCTTTCATTTTGTTATTACATACACATTTGGCAATCCTAAAATTTGGTATTTTTTGCCCTAATTCAGGTAGTTTTAACACATGGTATTCTTATTAAAATATGAAATAACAATAACTCTCCCAAACTAATGTCGTTGATACATTGCTGCACAATAAATACAAATAGCGACATATTTATCGCATCACATACAAAAAACCTTCAATTACAAAGACAACTTCTATTACCAATATGCATTCAGTTCTTGTAAATATTGTAATAAATATCGACATGTTTAGCATCACAAATTCACTATTATATTTGTTTGATAGTGATTACTAATTATAATGTACCACTTTTCAGTTGATTTTGATTTTTTGTCCATTTGATTCAAAGTCAAAATTAGACATGACTTCTTCTTCTTGTTCTCGCGAAGTCGTACTTCTTGTTATCTCCTTCGCGAAGCATTTTTAGTTAAAAATAATTGAGTTTTTCATCATGGTTGTACATTTTTGTTTCTCCTCTCCATTTTCACGCCTTGAAGGGGTTGAACCATTGAAGTGGTCTGCGAACTAAAGAAGGTTTGCTATTTTTTTTTAAAAAAATCAGTTGGCTAGATAAGCGGTTACCATCACATCTCACGCGTGTCTTTTAGAAAATGAAAATCTCCAACTTTGTTTTATTAAGGGCATTATTGTCTGTTACTAATAAATTTCGTATGAAACTTAGATGAGGCACAAGATTCATATTTTGGCATATTTCCTACATTTTGCTCCTAGATTGGGAATTTTTCTCATGATAATGATACGATCACACAAATTATATGACTCATAATTTTCGATAAGAGGCTCACATCAGCCGAGGCATATAATTTGTGAGTAATGATTACCAAAAAAAAGGATGACACCCCATTCCCGAGGGCCCCCCAACACCGACCGGACGACACGATGTAAATTGGACTATAATCACAATCTGACAGATAGAGAGTGAGGTTCTGTCCCCGGTACTTGCAGAGACCCTATGCATTTTTCAGCATAGTAACCCCTCATCACAGTTGCCGGGATTCGAACCCGAGACCTAACCCTTGTGGCACTCCCTTACTACCAGTTGAGCTACGCCCACCGGTAGAGTAATGATTACCAGTTTGTGGGGTTTGTAGAGGGTACATAATGACAAATATTGGAATGGCATGCAGACTTTAGCTATATGCATCATGGTGGGCTGCATTTCTAGCTAACAGCTTGGGGAGGGGCTCCCAACCCCCTCCATTGTTCATTCAAAAATCAACCATTCTAAAGCTTCCATATGTTATTAAAAGAAAACGATTTTCCCATCCAGGTAAACACAGCTTAAATATCTAATGTTGTAATAGTTTAACTTTTGTGGCTATGAAAATCTGATTTACAACTTAGATTACATATTTGACCAAGCACATACAAAGACATCGTATATTTTCAATTCAATTCATGAAGGGAAGGAGTTAGAGATCAAAATTTTACATTGATGCGCTTGTTGGTATACATGATGACAGATGGTGACATCTTCAGCAATTAACTTAAGCATGAGGTCAAAGCCCTACACAAAATATTTTCTTTTTATGTTATGAGGTCAGTTAAACAAAATGCTCAGTTGGATATTCATTCTCATATCCATTGTAATCATAATATAGCCGTTCCCCCTTTCGGATGTCTCTGGTTGCTATCAACAAAACACGACTTTCGCCATTTACGTTGAACCTCACACATTTCACATTCTGCTTTTTCCTTCCTTCCCTGCATTGCAACGTTTACCACATAATATAGAGAATAGGGAAAAATAAAAAGGGAAGTTGGAAGGAAAATGGGGGGGAGGGGGTAATCATTCTAATACATAAACATATTATATAACGACTGAGGAATCTTAACATATGCACAATGCTAATCTTTTATATGTGATATGGTTTTCCTTTGTATATATGTAAAGGTAAACTCTACAAAAAAGACTTCTCTACAGGTGTTTTCCCTTTCCCTACAATTATGTGTGTTCCAAACATAGCCTAAATGGACGAACTTACAGGGTATGGTTGTTGATGCCATTGATGAAGCGAGCTATGTTGCTTCGCTTATCTGGACAGATGACAAGGCATTCTGACGGATCCGCAGTGGAGAGTAGAGTCATCATGCTATCACCATCATCATTTTGTCGATTTTTCAAATAATCAACATCTCCAACGTACTCAGTTATTATGGTTAGATCTCTTATGAATCTATCAGCTTCAACGGTAAACCTGTTGGTATGGATAAATGATTAACAGATTCTAGCTAAGAGAATGTTGCATAATGATGTAGACTAATGAAATAACTGCAAGTGTCTAGCTATGCTCACCCTTCTTTGGGGTCAAAAGCCACCATAAGAGGCGGGCATTCACCTCTTTCCATCATTTTCTTGCACAAATTCAAAGTTTCTGCATCTTCTTTAGTCATTACCTGAAATTGCATTCCATATAAATCTTTAATCATTTGTTCTTTTAACGAAGATGTGCGGGAGATAAAACGCACAGAAATGACTTTCCATGACATTGTATTTCCATTCCATTGTGCACTTTCATGTTACAAAAGCACCAGACAACAAGATTAAGGATTATTATGTAATGAACATTCTTGATCAAGTCAACATACCTGCATACCACCTTGCTCAAGTGCAGCCCTATTCACATTCCTAGGTGCCATGCCTGGCATATAAGTGAGTTCATTACTAAACTGGGCTGCAGATGCAGTTAATGCTGTTGCTAGCGATGCCATTTGCTCAAGTCTCCTACTAGGCTCATCGGTAGGATTGAATGCCAGTAATTTTCTCTTCTTCTTAGACACTGCCAAGCTACTAATTCTCCTTCGCCTCTTTTGGCAGACTGAAGAAAAAATATCCAAAGTAGAGTTGAGACACTAAAGAAAGTAATAGTCAAAAGTCAAAAAGAGACGAAAGGAGGGAAGAGGCAGCATTCTGCTTCCACTTTACCTGCACTAAGCTTTTCTGTAGCATTCAACGATCTCTGGATACGGAAGAAGTCAACAATCTTAGTCTGAATGAGGGGAAATTCTGCATTTCCAATAATGCATAGTGAGTTACTTATTAGATGAATACACATGAAAAAGAGAGTGCTAATGCCTAGTACAATTTCTAGATTTTTTATAAGCAACATAGCCTTTTATAAAAGATACACAAATGCAATATCAAGTGTCCCTCAAAATGCACAAAATCACTAAGCAAAATTAAGGCCGTAGACCTAAAATTTATAGCTAAATTCAGCTGTTGAACTGACAAATCTCACATAATCGCCTACAGAAGAAACAAGATCTAACCTCAAAAGGCTCAATACAGTAAGTTTCACAATAAAAGGAGAGTATTCGGTCTAATAATCAAGGAAATTCAGTTTACAGAAATACCCAGAGAGCAAAAATACAACATTCATATTAAACAAATTAAAAAAGCATTAATGGGGAAAATTAAGGAAACCCTACTCGTGACATTTCTATAGTTGGAGCAGGATGTGCAGAACCACGAGCCCTTGGGTACGGCAGCGAGGATTGGGCGGAGGCAAAACAGGTGAAACCCTCGATCGCACTTATCGCAGAGCAAAAGCTCAGATCCTCGATCGCCGGACCCACATTCCTCACAACACACATCACCGAAATCGTCTCCTTCACCTGCATCCGATCTGGACCTTTTTCCGGGCGATAAGTTCGGGTAAAACGGATTCGAAGCTTGGGTTCTCTTTCTAAGCACCATTGATGTCGGTGAAGCCTCCATTGTCGCGGAAATGTGAGGTCTGGTGCGGAAGATGAAGTGTGTGTAGCTGCGGGGTGAGAAAAAGAGAGTGGCATGCCCCCCGAAATGAACCCGTATATAAAAAACAGAAAACTCGTGAACCAAATATCGTACCGGCTTAGCGCGCTGTTTATTTCGCGGGAAGACGGAGTTTGGCGCCAAAGGATCGTGTGCTTTGTGACCTCAATTGGAGTACAAATTTTTTGATATAGGGAGTAGTTTATTTAAGATTAATTTGGTCTTAGTTTATTTAATAATTATTGAAGTATAATATGATTGATATGGTCTTAGTTTATAAACTGTTCTAATCCCATTTAGACTGGTGTAGAACTGAGAACAGTGTAGATAAAAATATTTTAAAATTAAGTCGAAGTGTCAACAAATTAGAATTATTATTATGAACCTATTATTTAGAGGCCCAATTTTACTTATTACAACCGTCAAATTGACTATTAATTAATAAGTAAGTTTAGTTTAAGTACCTAATTTATTCTTATAAGAAAAAGAGGTAAATAAGCCTTTAAACTATTAGGGATTTTGCAACAGACTATTGAACTAGAAGAACTAGCAAATAAATGGCTCAACCTATTGAAATAAAGACATTACGATCTTTTTACTTATTGATATTGGTAAGTTCACACGCGAAAGTTACCATCTTGTCATATCAGTAGTTCAAAAAAGATCAAATTGATTTCAATGAGTTGAAGGGACATATTTGTATAATCTTTCTATTCAAAGGCCTTATTGTGAAATACTAATAGTTTGATTATTTGTCAGGTCTTTTGGTAATTTCTGATTATATGAAGTCTTCATTTTCTATAGAATTATATTTAGCGTTCATCCATCTATTGATCATACAGAAGTGATCACTAGAAATTGGTGACAGTCTAAATGGTTATAATTCTTCTCAAAATTGTCAATTTAGACAACCTTATTATATTTAAATCTCAATAATTTTTATTTTTTATTTTTTGAATAAATTTTACTTCACTTTACCATTTTTGAAAGAATGGGAGTTTGAGACCAATCTACCATTGTCCACTGGTCCATCTCATCTCACCACTAGATAAAGATAGATGAGGGAAGCAGGGTGCAAAGCAGCAGCACCACCTGCTCAGATTACGATGGAGATAAATTATCACATTTCATACCCTCTTTTTTCTTATTACAATATTACCCCCACCGAAAGAAATGCAGAAGCAACAAAGCCAATTACAGTATTTCTTTGGATTTTGTCTCCAGAAATTGCTTCCTCCATTTGAAGAACAGAGAAAATGGACGCTTTCACATCAGTGACACACCCCAGTTCACGCTCTTCAGCTTTCCTGGGGCATAATTTTCAGCCTATATCACATAGCCATTGTTCAGTCGCGGTAAAGGAAGAAGCAGTAACCTGGCGCTTAACTGCGGCGAGATACGCGAGTTCCCCAAAGAGGCGGCGATCTTTGACCTATTTTCCTGCTCCTCGCCTTGCGATTAGAGGCGCAGCAACCAAACCTTCCAAATCACCAGGTATTTGCCACTATAGATTCAAAACATACATGTAATAGCTTCGGTTCGAATTTGAGTTTGTTCGTTATTACTGCGTATGATTTTCTGATGGAATCATAGCTGAAGAAGACTGGTCGATTAAGAGAGCAAAACTGGTGGAGAAAAGAGTGAGGAGCGTAGATCCAAAGGAAGCATTGAGACTTCAAAACGAAAACAGCTTTGTGATTCTTGATGTGCGGCCAGAAGCAGAGTTCAATGAGGTCAGCCAAATCCTCGGAATTTCTCTGCAGCTTCTGAGTGGTGAATCAATGAAATAACTATCTGTGTTTAATTTGGTTTTATAATGCTCAATGTGAAATGTGATGATCAGAATTGTTATAATACTGAGGGCAGTGTTTGGGGTTAGCTCAAACTCAAAATTAAGGGTGATATGGATTCTCTGGTTTGGTAGCTGAAATTGGCTCATTTTGCACAAATTGATCTGTTCACTTGGCTAAAAATGTACTCCCCCATTCCAAGTAAAGGTTCACACTTGCCTATTTTTGATGGCTCATTTAAAGGTTCTAGTTTCTTTTTTAGGAAATAAGTAACACTCTTAACGGACAACTTAATCATCACATATTAAAAATAATACGTTCATAACATTACAATCATCATCAATTACCCATTGTATTATACTACGTACTATGTATATCCACCCCAAACTACTTCTCAAAATCTTAAAATTAACTTATTTCATTATTATCTAAAAAACTGTGCCATTGTTTATTTAGAACCTTCAGCCGGGATGGAGGTAGTACTCATTATATTATTTACTCGTTTCCTTTCAGAAAATTAAACAGATTCAGTTCCATACAATCCTCACCTAACGGCCTTTAAATTGGTTTGCTCCAAGTGAAGCCCTAATGGATTCAATAGTGTATTTTTTTAGGCTCACCCACCAGGAGCTATCAATGTGGAAATATATAGGCTGATAAAGGAATGGACAGCTTGGGACATTGCAAGAAGAGCAGCATTTGCCTTTTTCGGCATATTCCAAGGAACAGAAGAAAATCCCAACTTTCTTCAGAGTAATACTCTACTACATAGGCATCAAATCTGTGGGTGTGTGTGTTCTTCACCTTATGTCTTATGTGTGCCTACTAGCTTAACAACTTATATGTTTTAATATATTCCGCTTTTTAGCCACACATTTATTAGATTAATTTCACTTTATCCTCTTGTAATGTATTTTTCCAACTTTGGTACTTGATTATTGGTTTGTTGCAATAGACCAATCGTTAAATTCATGTGATCTACTTTGGTCTTAGTTGAATCAGTTGCTCCTTTGAATTTAGTTGACTCTCAGGTCATTATCATGTTTAGATAATTAGATTTAGGGTTCCATCGGTCACCCTAATACGAGGAATTTTCCTAAACTTCGTAGTTTCCTTTATTCTGAAAGATCCTAAAATATTAACCTTATTTAGTTGTAGCTGGTATGGAATAACTTAACATATATATCCAATTTACATGCATTATCTAACTAATTTTTTGCTGGAATAGTAATAAAATAAGGTCTGAAAAGTAAAAAGAAATTGATAGTTGTGCATCAAAAGTGCGAAAAAGATGAAAGTTAGGGACCAAAGGTGAAATGTACAGTGTCCGTGTGGAGTGTGGATGAAAAGTGGAGTATTTCAATTAATTTTCTAACAGAGTATCTGATAAATGCAAGCAGCTGTGGAATCTAAGTTAGATAAGGATGCAAAAATCATTGTGGCTTGCTCATCTGGAGGTACAATGAAGCCATCTCAAAATCTCCCAGAAGGCCAGCAGTCAAGGTTCCACAGTCCCCCTCTCTTTTTTTTTCCTTTTCTTGAAAGCTACTCAGATTAATTCATGTTTAATCCCAGGTCACTATAAGTGATTACTTACTCTTCTACTACCTCTGTGCAGGTCACTAATTGCGGCCTACTTGCTGGTTCTCAAAGGTTATACCAAAGTTTACCATTTGGATGGAGGGCTCTATGCCTGGTTTAAGGAAGGATTGCCAGCAGTCTCTAAAGAATGAAGCCAGAAACTTTTCTAGTCTTAGCAGACAAACTTTCATTTTAAGATCATGCTAGTGTTATGTTTTTTGTATAGAGCTGTTTTTGAAAAACATATCATATTGACAAGCAATAATTTTTTACCTACCAAGAAACGTGTGTTCTTGCACCAACTGGCAGAAGGGGTCTTCAAAAAATCGATTTTAAATCCATATTAGTAAAACTAGTCAATGTATTCCTTTGGGATTTTTGAAAGTAGTTTAACATGATTTTAACTTTTAAGCAAGATATTTTCAACAGTTTTAAGGATTTTTATAATCTCCAATATATGAGGATTTTTATGCTGTAACAAGAAGACTTTTCAAGACTATAATCTCTTATTCTCTATTATTACGTATTTCATATTTACCTTTCAAATAAGTAATACGTGGTACAATTTTGAAGTACCCATCGAGGTTTACATCTAAGAAAATATGTTAAGTACTCTTGCATAGGGATGACTCGGGTCGGGCCAGGTTGGTGGTACCGGTTTTGGAAAAGTGGAGCCCGGTATCGGCCCGATGTGCTTTGGTACCCGTTCCGGTCTAGGCCCAAACAATATCGAGCCTGGGTCGGGCTCAGGCTTGGATCCAAAAAATCAAGCCCGAAGTCCGCCCCTTATAACCACCCAGGGCCGGTCCCGAAGAAATGTAGACCCTGTGCGAGAATAAAATTTGGGCCTTTTTTCAAGTTGCAACACAAGCAAATTGTCTTAAAATACAACTTACGAATAAATGTAATGATAAAAATTGTCATTAATAACTTACAATTTATTTAAAAAGGGACATTCTTCAAGCATATTTAGTTTTACGCAGGGGGATTTTGGACTGGGGCGTAATACTAAATTTTTTTTTGGACCCTTCAAAAATTCGGGCCCTGTGCGGTCGCGCTGGACAGACATGCCCTGGGCCGGCCCTGTAACCACCGGTCTGGGTATTGGAGGTACTAGTAGTACCAGTTCCAGGTCGGTCCTTGGTCGGGCCGCCCGGACCTAGTCCATCCCTACTCTTGCATGACAAAAGCAGTACAATAATCTTTTATATATAAAATTAAAGATTATACTAGAATTCCTCAGATCATATTGAAGAATCAATGAATACAAACACTATTTTAGGAGAGATATTTCAAAGCTGGTGCAAACATAATTTAGTATTTGTCGTGATGAGTTTTAGACATAGTCTTGTCGAGACTAGAGCTAGAGTTGTATGTTTTACATCCCAAAACTTAATCAAATTCTGGGTCCTGAACCAAAACTAGAGTAGACACAGTACGTTTAATTCTAGGTAGTTTATACGTAGCCAAAAACAGATAGTTAAAGTTTGTATTTTTGTTGTTTAAGCATAGTTTTCCAAGCTATAATGATCAAGAAATTGTCCAAAACCGGATCATGAAGGTGTATAGGACTCGAATCCCCAATCAGATCTGAGTCGTTTACATTCCTCCAACTTTTCAAACATCGATCATTATTATAGACCGCCCAAACTCAACCAATGGTCGGTATCTAGGGGAAAACCGGACTCAATGTTTGATGAAATAACTTTAACGATCATTATCAAGTGATTTAATAAAAAGCGACAAATTTGTACTTTGGGCATCTTCAACGGAGAGGTGGATTGCATTAAAAAAGTTTTCCACCTCACCGAATGCACTTTTTTTTTAAATAAATGTGCTCTCCATGCAAAAATAAATGAAGAGAGCCAAGCTGAGTTGGCAAAAGTGAGAGGATCAAAGTCTTGCACAAGATCCATTGGTAGATCTTTGGTCTCACTTCAACCAAGTTTAAATTGTAATGACTCTTCTATTTTTAATTGTAATTCCTTCCGCATTGGAGTAAGGAGACAGTAGACTCTCTTCAACTTGTTTATTTAGGCCCACATATTCAATAGACTCTTTGCACTTGGATGACACCTCACCACCAATGCACCAAAAGCATTGGAGATACGTACTCTTATGTTCATATATGCAATTTACTTTATGAAGTAACAATTATTCATTCTATAGCATATTAAATCGTGTTCATTAGCTCAATTATGTGTAATTATTTTTCGTAAATATGTGTCTTTTTCTCATACTATAACAGGGGCTTCAGCTCCCATTTGTAAAGCAACTTTTCAAGGGCTCGGTCATCTCCTCACTTTTCTACCCTAAAGCGCATAGCACTAAAAGAGAAATATATTGATCTCTTGTGATGTTTGATGGAGTATATCTGTCTAAACCTACAACCCACACACTCGTAAAATACTATGTCCTGATCCAACGGTCATCTAAGGACACTCCGGGCTAGGATACTCTTCTAACCACCAGCAAGCAATCCGAACTGATTTCTGAAGAGCCACCTTGAATGAGAATGTGATTTTGACATTTGAGTTTTGTTGCCCCACAACATAAGCATTTACCTGAGGACAAATATTTGTCAAAATAAAATCTCACACTCTTAAATAATATAAAGACGTTAATTTGTAACTACAAGCTAGTAGGGATAATAATCCATCAGCCCAACTCACAAGTTATTCGAGATTGACTTTGTTCTTACTCGAATCTAGCTCGACTCAATATAAACTTGATTCGTATTAATCCATCAGTCCAACTCAATCTTATTCGAATCGATTCATACCAAATAATCAAGTGAAGTTCAAGCTGTATACCAACTCAAAAGAGGTGAGATTGGCAGCATAATTAGGAGTGAATGAGCAATATTTTAAGAAGAAAACAATGATGATTTTGTTTCATTTGTGCATTTTATCTACGTTGTATTCCTATTTAAGAAATTTTCTTGATAGGAGTAGGTGGAAAATGAAAGATTATTTGCATATTTGTAGATGAAAAAAACTATCAAAATTGAAGTGCAAGTAAATAAATATGTAGAAAAATATGATTGATATGTTTATTCCATTTTATATTAGCCTCTTAAGCTAACCGCAACTCAGCTCCGTCAATAAATCAAATTCTCCACTACTTTATACGTATTCATTCAGTCAATTCAATTTTCACTGCAATCCAACACCGTCAATATATTCACCCAGTAAAATTTTATTTATTAAAGTCTTACTTTTATTATGATACATCATTATATTGTTTATCCAATTTTTTTGGTGTCAATAATTATCATTCGAAAAGACAAACATTTCGATATAAAAATAAATAAATTTGGAGTTTGTTATTTTTTTGTTAATTCGGCTGTATTTTTAGATTTAAAAAAACTTTTTTATTTTTTTGTCTTTGATTCCGTGAATAAATATATGAAATCCCACCCCAACGGTTCCTCCTACCCACTTTGGCCCCTCTTTATACTATGGATTGCAGCAATTTTTGGGATGAAAAACTCAAAAATGGCCTTTTCGCCCCGGGGCTGCAAGCAGCCTTACGCTAGGCATAAGAACACCAAAAATAAAATAGGTAAAGTCGTACGAAGTACTCCCTCCGTCCCAAAAACAACTTCTCACTTTCCTTAAATGGATGTCCCAAAATTAACTTCACACTTCAATACTTTTCTTATTTGTCAAATTATCTACATCAAAAAAGTGATAAACAGTGCCAAACAGTGTTTAAACAGTGTCAAACAGTGTTTAAACAGTGCAAAACAGTGCACTCTACAGTAATGCCAAATTTATTTTCTAAAAATGTGTGAAAGTCAAATCGGGAGGTTCTTTTCGGGACGGAGGGAGTCTAATTTATGTCATATTGAGTTTGTAAATTATACTACGTCGATGATTTAACATTACACAATTGTGATTGGTGTAGTATGAGAATGATTTAGATAATATCGAAAAAAGGATCACTTTTAATTGACAAAGAGTATGTGATAAGATTTATACTACTCCGTATGTTGTAATAACGGAGTGATACATTTGACCTTTCATTTTTTGAAAAATTTATTTGTACATAAAATGTGTACATATTTGACACACTCTCTATAGTCTCTTGTGTATACAAACATTTCATTTAGGAAAAAATAGTAATTACCTATGTACACAGGCCAATGTAAAATGTACACAATAAAATGTACATCTTTTATGAACATCAAGAATGGTGTCATTTTTACCTAAGAAAAGGAAAGGTCAAATATAGCACTTTATCCGTCCCTCTAACTTTGTCTCGTTTTACCTTTTTTATCCATCCTTATTAAGTTTGTCTCATACCATATTTGGTAATATTTGGGTGATTACAATTCATTCTTACTTTATTCACACTTATCAATTCAATACCAACCACACAATTTCACTTTTTCTTAAAAGTTGTGTCACACCCCTTTGTCCCAAACATAGTGGGACGGAGGTAGTAATTATTATGACCCTTTCAGCTGAGAAAGCTACCTCTTTTGTCGATATTAGACAATAATAAGGATGTTTTTATTTGGATTGAAATTTGTTGTTCTGGTCTGAACTGGTTTTGTCTGAATTGATATGGTCTGGTTTGATAAATGTTTGGTCTCTATATATTTTATAAATGTCCAAATCTGATTTGGTTTGGTTTGATCTGGTCTGATCTGCTTTGGTCTGGGACTGAAAACAATCCAAGTAAAAACATTCTTATTTCACGTGTTATTATCCTTATGACATCCAAATTTAAGATGTTTCCGTTCAAATTTTTTTCAATGATTTATTTTTACATTATTTTAGGCATTAGAATTATTTGACCAAATAAAAAGAGTTCTTTACATAAAAAATAGGGAAAGTTCCCGAAATGGGACTAAAAAAGTACGAAAATTGCAAAATAGGACTGCCATGTTTTTATTCCCAAAATAGGACTAATTACTGCCAAATTTGGAAAATACTGCCATGTTTGAAGTCTGGTACTGCCAAAACATGACAGTAATTAGTTCTATTTTGGGAATAAAAACATGGAAGTCCTATTTTGGAATTTTCAAACTCTTTTAGTCCCATTTTGGGTAATATCTCTAAAAAATAAGAATAAATTTAGATCATCGGATTTATAATATCAAAAAAATATTAAAGTGGATTAAAAAAGGTGTCATTTTCGTAGAGAAATCATTTTTTTTCATTGAAAAAGCGCACTTTAGTACTCCATATGTAATGGTGTGTCGTATACTACCTCCGTAACCTTAGAATCTTCTCAGTTTGACTCTTTTGAGTCAAACTTTATAAACTTTGACCATTAATTATTCAAAACTCACATTATGTTATGATTAAAAATTTATTGTATATACCTCATTGTAAAACATATTATT